GTTGGTTAAATGCGGAAGCAATGAGATACCGAACACATTCGGACGAACAGTACCAAGAAAACGAAAGACTTGCGCATGCTGAAGCAATGAGATCCCGAAGGAACACAGACGAATAGTACCAGGAAATTCTCAAGCAATGTGATACCGAAGAGGTACAGACAAAGAGTACCGAGAAAACGAGAGACGTGCGAATGCTGAAGCAATGCAAAACCGACGGACAGACACAGAGACAAGGAACGAAGAACGCGCTAGGGGCCGCAAAGCACGTCAGCGTCAAAGAAGCAGTTATGCAGCTGCTCTAATCACGTACGAAAACGCAATAAAAGAGCGTCCAACTTACGTCTGCAACAGCTGCGGGCGGTTAGAATTCAAGCGGTCGATTATTACTCTTCACTTTTCGGAGCTGCAACGGGCGGGCAGTGGAAATGAAGCGAAAATGATCCTGTTAGAGAATGTGTTTTACCTGCAGAAAACCGACGAAGCATTCTTCTGCAAAACATGCGCCCAAAGCATAAAAGCTTGGAAACAGCCACGCTACTGCCTAGCTAACGATTTGGCTTTTCCTACAGTACATCGCACTGTTCGGGACCTCACCAGAGTGGAAGAGCGACTCGCAGCAGCCCGACATGTTTTCCAAACAATTTGGCCGTCCAACGGACCAACCGGACAGTTTCGGTACAGGAGAGGAATTGTTAATATCCCCGCCTCTGTGGACACGACGGTTTCGCTGCTACCCCGTGCAACCACTGACACCCACGTTGCGCACGTCCGCATAGCAAGACCGATGCAGTACAGAGGAAATTACATACCTGGGAATGTGCGCCCATGACGCGTCTGGGAAGCTGCGCTATATTTATGCCAACAATCACTATATCGCAGTCACAACATTGACATTTTAGATAATTAGCTTACAAAATACGACCGCAATGAACCCCGATTGGCCGACCCAAATACTGAGGCAGAAGAAGATGAGGAAGACACCGACGGTGCTGAGCCACTCAATCCCCGTGTACAAGAAACGATGCTGCTGGAGGAAGAAAGTCAGCATGGCATAAGAACGGCTCCAGGAGAAGCACAAAGACCGATTTCAGTTCTACTGGATGAGAGTACGGAATACCTCTCCTTTCCGACAATTTTCAGGGGTGAAAAACTGCATCCCCTATTTTGCGGTCGTCCAATGTCATATTCAGAAACTGCCAAATCTTTTGCAATGCGATACGACCGTAGAGTAGCTAACCAGCTGGACTACCTCCTGTTCATGGCCAAGAAGATTGAACTACTGAAACTTTCGGGCAAAATGGCCATATGTCTGAGAAAGAAGGTGCGCGATCGTACTGACATTAATGCGGCAAATTTAATCAATAACAACTTGCACGGTTTAGTACGTCACGATGAGGCTTTTCGGGTTCTCGAGGGGGTACGAAATTCATGCACCCACTGGCACAGTGAAAAGCTAAAGGCGCATGCAATGGTAAGACAGTTCGAACTGTCATGTTCGCGGCGAAAACACAATGGCTAGAGCTACTGCAAATCTTAAAACAGCTCCTGCAAATCTTAAAACAAATTATCGACGACCAGACAGTAAGTGCAGACGAAGCACTCGTCATGTCCTACGCCTAAAGGCCCGACTAATTCAAGCGGGCCCCGTAACTTGCGCACGCTATTTCAATCACCATCACCACGAGCAGACGAAACTTTGGAGCCTTCCTGAAGGACCATTCCAAGGCAGGTTTGTTACACATACACATACCACAGAGTGGAATTTCAGCATCGCGGCTCGCCGCGTATACATCAACTCATTTGGTTAAGCGACGCACCGAAATACAACAGTTCAACGGGCGAGAATGAGCTCGAAGTGTGCAGTTTCATCGATAGCATTATCTCCTGTGAAAGTGTTCTCCATAGTGCAGAAGAGCCGCAACTTCAAGCAGTTGCTCCATACAAGTACCTGTTGGAATCGAGAAACTGAAAAGTGCAGATTTGAAATCCCCTTTCATCTAATGCGTGAAACACGCATTCTGCAACCCCTTCCGGATACCACAGACCTATTTCAGCGAGATCAGCTGCAAAAGCTAGCTGCACAAATAAGAAATATGCTTAACAATGATGAAAACGTACAAGGCCTCACTTTCAATCAATTTCTAGATCGCTGTCAAACAAATGAGGATAATTACCTATTGGCAATTCGGTCCGACCTTCTACGATGCAAAATTTTTTTAAGACGCGAGCCACGCGACATAATGATTAATGTATATTCTCCAAAAATATTATCTACGATGAGATCTAATATGGATCTACAGTACGTGCTGGATCCATACGCATGTGCTGTATACATAATTAATTACATAAACAAATCGGACAGAGGAGTCGGTAGAACGGTTGATAATATCAATAAAGAACTACGTAAGGGAAATACCAGATTCGAGAAGCAATGCAGTCAATCAGTACAACTCACTATTGCACCGCGGAACTATCAGCACAGGAAGCAAGTTACAACATTCTTCAAATGCCACTGTCCTACTGCTCCGAACAGATACTTTTCATACGAACATCTCCACCTGACGAGCGTGTACGAATCCTCAAACCACAAGAAGAACTGCGCATACTGGATCTAACTCTCAGGATTGCTTCGTACACGACTTGGTGGAGCACTACACGAAACGGCCAGTGCATCTGGAACATGTACCGCTCGCTGATTTTGCAGTCTGGTATCACATTCATAAAAGAATGCCGAGAAGTTCAGTCGAAAAATATGCGGCGGAGAGTGTTGATTCGACGGGCAACGAACAGGCTCAAGATAACAGTTTAAGTGGGCCGTACGAGCCGTTTCTGGATGGTGCGTACATTCGCAAGCGTACTCGTCCAAAAATCATCCGACATAGAATGTACAACGTTGCCACCGAACCGGAACAGTTCTACAGGGAACTTGTTATGCTCCATCTTCCATGGAGAAACGAAGCGGATGAACTTCTCAGCATTGACTGCCAAGTTCAATTCGCTGCACACAGAGAGCAAATAATGCAGACGCGACAAAAGTACCACTACTTCCCAAGTATAGTGTTGCAGGAAGCTCTTCAGGAAGCGGAGAACAATGCGCAGGCCCGTGAGGTTCAGGATGAGGAGGATCGGAATGCGCCCACGTTTGACTTCGACAACTACTACCTTGAAGAGAACACAGTGGAGCCTGTTAACGGGACAGAGTACGAAAGGGTCCCGTATGCAGAAAACTTCCAACTGCCACATCTAGTCCCGAATGCCGAGTTCGAACAGCTATTGAGCACGCTCAACTACGAACAAAGAGATTACGTAATGGACATTGCGAATCATTTCAAACGCAGCGACAGACCCATATATCACGTCATAAAAGGCGAAGCTGGTGTTGGGAAAAGTGTTCTGATTCGAACAATATATCAGGTGCTGCTACGAATTTTTTGGCAACGACTGGATCCCTATCCTGATTGTCCCAATGTTCTTTTAGCTGCACCGACTGGAAAAGCGGCTTTTAACATTAATGCAGTCACACTCTACACGCTTTTCCAACTACCGGTTGCTTCCAATCGCCTGACCGAATTATCCGCTGAAGTTTCAAATACCATGGCAACAAGACTACAGCATCTACAAGTGTTAATTATTGACGAAATTTCCATGGTTGGCGAACCAACGCTGCAAGTGGTGAACATGCGACTACGTCATTTATTTGGTGATGTCGACTTCGGAGGAAAAAGTGTAATTGCTGTCGGCGATTTCTGTCAACTACCGCCCGTAATAGCAGCACCAGTATACGTGAACAGACCGCATAATCCGCAGGTTGAAGCGTTTGGAAGACCGCTATGGCATCTCTTTGAGGTTTACAAGTTAAGGGTGGTGATGCGGCAAAACGAAGCTCAGTTCAAGGAAGCACTTAATCATTTAACGGATGGAGAGCTCACAGCAGCAGATGAAGTACTCTTTCGGTCTCGAACATTTACGGAGCTTTCTCAGACAGCAACTGCACAGAAACCAATTTTTCTTTTCGCCAAAAACAGTGAAGTGGATAAATGGAATGATAAAGTACTGAGGGAAATGCCTGGATTTCGAACAACTTGCGAAGCACCAGATAGAGCAGCTGGAGTTGGACCGGAGAGCACCAAAACCGTTATGTTACTAAGTGTTCGTAGCGCACGCACAACTACTCACCAAACAATGGGTATGCCAGGACGTTATATTTGAAAGTTGGTGCGCGATACATGATGACATGCAACTTGGACACCAGTGACGGCCTAGCAAACAGTGCTACTGGAAGACTAGTCCAAGTGGAGATGGCAACGTTGATAGGGAGAAACTAATGAGACTAAACTTTTACGTGTCTGGATGCTATCGACGAGCAGGAGGTGGGTACGAAGCTGCGCTGGAGGTTCAGCAGCATTAGCATTCGCAAGCATTGCCCGACGAACCGGACACCGCTGGAGCCAATAATAATACCGATCAAACGTAGCAAGGGGTCAGATTTGCAAGTGCTAGGCAAACAGTTCCCATTGGTACCTGAGGAAGCAATGGCAATCCACAAGAGTTAGGGTCAGACATATCCGTCTGTGGTTCTCCACACTGCACAGCGCATGAATCGCGCTCTGCTCTGCGTTGCGCTATCCAGAGTCACGTCACTTTCTGAACTGTATATAATCGACGAATTTAAGACGCCGCGACAATCGCAACCCAACGATCCGTTGCAAATCGAGCTAAGGCGACAAGAGCAACACTTATTGCAGCCCGCATTCCAATTTCTTCGAACAGAGCACAGCGTTGTCCAGGTTTTATATCACAATGTGCAAAGCTTTGCAAAACACCGCCACCAAATCGAGAATGACGCCGTTTACACAGCGAGCTACGTAATACTCCTCGGAGAGACTTGGTCAGCGGCAGCAGACGACATTCATATCAACGGCCAACGCACGGCTGTACGTGCCGACTGCATAGAACCGGCAAGAATAGCTCACGGAGCCTGCTGCCTGGTGTCGCAGCAAATGATGAATAACGTTCGCGACACAGCATCCATCAGAATTGGAGAGGAGGATTGTTTGGACGCAACTTTTATAATACTCCACAATGTGCTCAATGCCGGAATGTACGCAAGTCCTTGTGTTGCGATTGCTAGCATTCGGTCCTTCCTCGCAAGACGTTCCGAGGAAGAGAGGCGAAAACTTGTACTGGAGGATTTCAATCACAATATTGCTGAAACAGGAAACCCCCGTTTCAAGGAAATGATATAGACTAAAAATCTGGAATGTGAATGTACCCACGATTAATGCGAATTCAATGCTTGATCTCATTATAAGCAATTTCGACATATATCATGGCATGTACATCTCCCTAACAAGTTTTCATGAGTCTATCTAGGCCAGATGCAATCCATAAATCGATTGATTAACAATTCTATTTCAACCCAATGGCAGCAAAACTGCAATCGCTACTGATAGCCAAGATCGGACATTCAGGAGGCACAATTCCATCCCACGATGCGTAGCGGAGTAACACAGAGATTCACTGGGAAATGAGCACATCGAATGCAGCCATCATTGTGATAATTTGAATTTGCAAAAATCACTAACGTAAATAACGCATATGTGGTCTATAATTACTGATAATGCTATTAAAGGAATAAATTAAATAAATAAAAGATAATTGTATCAGCACAGCACTAAACGTCCGCAAGAAATCGTGCAAAAACGCATGATCGCACCGGCTAGCCTGGTGCGTTCCAGCCTGGGTTTACATGAAGCTGGGTCGTTATTTCGGTAAATGCTAGCTTTTTGAAAAAATTATGCAAGTTTTTTGAAAAAAGCGCAAATTTTCAGTTCACTGAAAAGTGGAAGTATTACTCGAGCTATCGTCTGTGAAAAAATCCAAAAATTCAAATGAACTAATGTTCATCAAATATTTGGAAGAGGGCGGTCGTTCGCTGCAAATTGCTTTCGTTTCTGATTTTTCGGTAAAGTTGAGTGTTTTTCATGCCTATCTGAAGGGAATTCCACTTCCAAGCAGAATTCAGACCGCACTTAAATATAGAACATCCCAGCGAGTTTTCAGCCCCGCAGCTTATCCGGCAGGCGAAGTATTCGTTCGCTAAAAATATCTTTGAAGTGCCCTAAGTCGTGGCGCAAGTGCAAATCGGTGCTCATTAGGTATACTATTTCCTATGAGGGAGACAAACATGCTGGCAAAATTTCAGCCACTGTTTTCCGGC